CACCCCCCAAATTGGTGTTTTTGTTAGCGCCCAGGGGGGCGGCCCCCCCTTTGGGGGGGGGGGAGGGACGGGGGCCCCCCCCCCCCCCGCCCGTTTTGGGGGCGTGGGGCCGCCCCCTCGGGGGGGGGTAAACCCCCCCCTTTTGCTTTGGGCGGCGGGGGAAAAAGGGGGGGGGTTTTTTTTTGGTTTTTTTTTTGGGGGGGGGGGGGGGGGGGGGGGGCTGCGCATGCATCGGGTGCTGCTGCTACTGTGTACTTTGGGTCTACTCTATATAGTGCTTGTGCTGTTGGTTAGGTGTGTTTTTATTTGTGCTGTCGTGGATGGCGGCGCTGATGCTGTTGCTGGTTGCTGCTTGTAGCTGCTGCTTCTGCTTCCTGCTGCTGCTGACTGCTGCCGGTGGAGGACTCCGGGCGTGGCCGCTTTGTGTTTACGATTGGTGTTGCTATTGAGGGCGTTTGTTCGCTGTGCCTCAGTGTAGGGGTAGAGTCACCAACGGGTCCCCCCCTACTTCACGATCGCTTTTTAAAGCTACGTCATCTCGTACTCTGGTAGAACAGCACCTAGTTGTGAATTCTGGCGGCATGACCTTTTGAGTCTTAAGCACAAGTTTTGATCAGAGGTTCCTTTAGTCAAGAATTTGTTCCGTTCAGAAGGACGTGCGCAGAACTACACCCCCCAAGTCAGTGTGCCACTTGCCGTCGAGACAGACACCTTCCAAGACCCACGGCTACAGCAGTAACATCAAAAACCTCAAAAGACGCCTCGATCGAGCGAGAGGATGACGACGTTCAACGCGTGTCCGCTCGCTCTGATCTTGCATTTTGTGTTGATTGGCCTCTCTGCCTGTTGGCTTGTTTCTGTGCAGGTTTCGCGGTGATGACGACCTCACGCGCACGTATCGTATCGCTCTACAATTGTAGGCCGGTGCATGCTGTCTCATCCTGACTTGTATGTATCTTCCTTGTCTATCTTTCTGCTGCCTGTCTTGTCCAGGTCCGCGGCACTTCGACAAACCGGAACCCTCCCGTTAAGGACGAAAACAGCGGTCCGACCGGAACAGCGGAGGAGTGGTTCGGGTCAACGTCTCGCAAGATCGTCGCCACGTGGCAGGTGCCCTTTCATAGCTGCTGCTGCTGACACCCCCACCCGACCGCGTTGTGTTTTGCGGTGGCGGTATACGGTTGGGGTAGTCTGTCTTGTGTGACTTGTCTGATGGAAGAAACCGTGTGAGCAGGATCAATTGGTGTGGTAGGCTGAGTGCAGCCTAGAACGAGAAGCAAGATAACAAGATTGTGTGGAGTGCCTGGAGCAAGCGGGCGGTCTTGAGACTGCTTGGCGCGGTGAGCGTGAGACAAAGCCAGAGGGGTGTGTCGTCAAACGTGGAGTGTCGGGAGCAGTGGCCGGCTCGAGGCGCATTCCGAATTATATACTTTATTTTACCGGGGCATATGCACACACGTTTATTTATTGCGGTCCGTCCGTCCATCTGACTGACGCATTGGTTCCCCTCTAAGGCGGAAAGTGATGGGCTGATGCCGCTGTAATGTCCTGCCCTATTTGTCTAGTCCTTAGCTTACGCTTCCGGCTACAGGCCGCACGTAGTTTCACAGTTGCAGCGCAGAGCACCCACCCAACTATTTCCAACCCACACCCTATCCCACCACCCATATAACGTAAGTCACACAAGGTAGCACACCTCACAGAATATAGCACACCCCCAACACACCTCTCCAGGAAAGCACACCCGGTCATGTTTTTTTTTTACTCCGAAAAAAACGCCAATTTATCACACCGGTGACGCAAGATAGCACCCCTCCTACAGTTTCGCCGCATTTCCAATCACGGAGCCCCCATAGTCACACCTGGTGGCTGGTTACACGGATGTGCACAGCCCGACGTGCGCACACGAACAGAGGCACACAGCTGGTATGCACACAAACAAGGACATTACGGAGGTGGAGGAGGTAGACAACCCTCCTGAAACAACCCTGCTGGAAGTGATGTCTGTCGCTCAGACGGTGCCATCAGCGTCTACGCCGGCGCCTCCACGGGCGATCACACCATTTTTCTCGAAGCCACCCGCGGCCGAGCCAAACGATGAGACTCCATGAGCACCTGCCACCGCAAGTGCTGCCAAAGCCCGCTCAACAGCGTCCGCCGAGGCCCCCGCACAACATCGTCGGTTGGGGGCCCCGCACCAGAGAGTCTGCTGAGTGTTATCACACCCCCCTTCATTTGCCACACCCCTTCAAGGAATGGTGGAGCAGGTAAATATTTCATCACACCCACTTTTATCTCATCCCCTTAGCTTATCGCATCCCCTGAGTGCGGGCTCCGTCAACGTGCACATTATCACACCGGTGAAGCAAGATAGCACACCCTTTCCAGGAAAGCACACCCGGTGATAAGTTTTTTAAACTCCAAAATCTTGTCACCAGGGTGTGTGCTTTCTTGTGTCACTTACGGTACAACGTAGTGTGCGAGAACAAGACCTCAGCCAAAAGATGAAATTCACTACATACGAGCTGTTTGTTTTTGCACCCCCGCGTTTTTGACTCCACGCCCTCCTCTCTCGGCCGCGATTGAATTACGATTTTTTCCCTCTCGCCGTGCGCAGGCAGGGAAAGGAGAGGGCGCCGGCGGCGGAGGCGCGGGTCTGTGGGAGGAGCTGCGGCAGGGAAGAGAGGCGTGGCTGGAGCGGGGTCCGTGCATGGGTCGTGCGCGTTTGTCTGCCGTGATGTCGGACGAGCGGCTGACGGCGGCGCTGCTGTGGCGCACAGAAGCCGCCGAGCTGGAGAAGGTGGGATGTGTACATACCTGATGCCTGCGTCTGCAACGGCAGCAGCGTGTTTTGTTTATTCCTGGTTGACAATCGATCGTTCCTGAAAACAAGATGTTTGAAATGGAGCTCTGTATGTGCTCTGCCTGGCTTGTGTGTTAACGCTCTTTAAGAGAACTGTCTTTGCCGTTCTCGCACCAGCACAACCACCGCCACCGCTTACACGCCCGCTCCCCTAACCCCCTGCTGCCGCCTCTCTGTCCCTCTGCCTCTCTGTCTCTCTGCCTCTGTCTCTCTCGCTCTTGTCTCTCTCGGTCCCTCGCCTCCTCACGCAGGTGTTCTAGTACAAGCCGGTGTTGGACAAGGGCTAGGCCGCCCACGGCCTCGCACCG